GACGGCTGGAAGAGAGCTAGTTTTCTTGTAGGTTCAGAAAGCAACGTTAGGCAGTGGGAGCCGTTGCCCGGAGGCTCGGTCCGTCCTTCAGGACCCTGCTGTTTGGGCGTGGCGGAGGCGCCGTTTGTGAGCCTTGACGGCTGGAAGAGAGCTAGTTTGGGAGCCGTTGCCAGGAGGCTCGGTCCGTCCTTCAGGGCCCTGCTGTTTTGCTGTGGCGAGGGCGCCGTTTGTGAGCCTTGACGGCTGGAAGAGAGCTAGTTTTCTTGTAGGTTCAGAAAGCAACGTTAGGCCGTGGGAGCCGTTGCCCGGAGGCTCGGTCCGTCCTTCAGGGCCCTGCTGTTTTGCTGTGGCGAGGGCGCCGTTTGGGAGCCTTGACGGCTGGAAGAGAGCTATTTGGGAGCCGTTGCCAGGAGGCTCGGTACGTACTTCAGGGCCCTGCTGTTTTGCAATGTGGCGAGGGCGCCGTTGTTCGTTTTGGTGTTTGGGAGCTTGACGGCGGAAGAGAGTAGTTGTCTTGTGGTTCAGAAAGCAACGTTAGGGGCAGTGGGAGAAGTTGCCCGGAGGCCAGGTCCGTCATCAGGCCTGTGTTGGGCGTGGCGAGGCGCCCGTTGGAGCCTTGACGGCTGGACCGGAAAGAGAGCTAGTGGGAGCCGTTGCCCGGAGGCTCGGTCCGTCCTTCAGGGCCCTGCTGTTTTGCTGTGGCGAGGGCGCCGTTTGTGAGCCTTGACAGCTGGAAGAGAGCTAGTTTTCTTGTAGGTTCAGAAAGCGACGTTAGGCAGTGGGAGCCGTTGCCCGGAGGCTCGGTCCGTCCTTCAGGGCCCTGCTGTTTGGGCGTGGATGGGGGGAGGCGCCGTTTGTGAGCCTTGACGGCTGGAAGAGAGCTAGTTTGGGAGCCGTTGCCCGGAGGCCCGGTCCATCCTTCAGGGCCCTGCTGTTTTGCTGTGCCGAGGGCGCCGTTTGTGAGCCTTGACGGCTGGAAGAGAGCTAGTTTGGGAGCCGTTGCCCGGAGGCTCGGTCCGTCCTTCAGGGGCCTGCTGTTTTGCTGTGGCGAGGGCGCCGTTTGTGAGCCTTGACGGCTGGAAGAGAGCTAGTTTTCTTGTAGGTTCAGAAAGCAACGTTAGGCAGTGGGAGCGGTTGCCCGGAGGCTCGGTCCGTCCTTCAGGGCCCTGCGGTTTGGGCGTGGCGGAGGCGCCGTTTGTGAGCCTTGACGGCTGGAAGAGCGTTTTTGAAGGTTTGACGGCTGGAGGAGAGCTTGTTTTCTTGTAGGTTCAGAAAGCAACGTTAGGCAGTGGGAGCGGTTGCCCGGAGGCTCGGTCCGTCCTTCAGGGCCCTGCTGTTTGGGCGTGCGGAGGCGCCGTTTGTGAGCCTTGACGGCTGGAAGAGAGCTAGTTTGGGAGCCGTTGCCCGGAGGCTCGGTCCGTCCTTCAGGGCCCTGCTGTTTTGCTGTGGCGAGGGCGGCGTTTGTGAGCCTTGACGGCTGGAAGAGAGCTAGTTTTCTTGTAGGTTCAGAAAGCAACGTTAGGCAGTGGGAGCCGTTGCCCGGAGGCTCGGTCCGTCCTTCAGGGCCCTGCTGTTTGGGCGAGGCGCCGTTTGTGTGCCTTGACGGCTGGAAGAGAGCTAGTTTGGGAGCCGTTGCCCGGAGGCTCGGTCCGTCCTTCAGGGCCCTGCTGTTTGCTGTGGCGAGGGCGGCGTTTGTGAGCCTGACGTCGGAAGCGAGCTAGTTGTTCTTGTTGGTAGGTTAGAAAGAACGTTAGGCAGTGGGAGCCGTTGGCCGGTAGGGCTCGGGTCCGTCTCAGGGCCCCCTTGCGTTGGGCGTGGCGGAGCGCCGTTTGTGAGCCCTTGACGGTGAAGAGAGCTAGTTGGGAAAGCCGTGACCAGGGAGGCCCGGTCCGTCCTTCAGGGCACCTGGCCTGTTTTGCTGGGGCGAGGGCTGCCGTTTTTGTGAGCTTGACGGGTGGAAGAGAGTAGTTTTTTGATAGGTCAGAAAGACAACGTAGCAGTGGGAGCGGTTGCACGGAGGCTCGGTCCGTCCTTCAGGGCCTGTGGTGCGGCCGTGGCGGAGGCGCGCTTGTGAGCCTTGACGGCTGGAAGAGAGCTAGTTTGGGAGCCGTTGCCCGGAGGCTCGGTCCGTCCTTCAGGGCCCTGCTGTTTTGCTGTGGCGAGGGCGCCGTTTGTGAGCCTTGACGGCTGGAAGAGAGCTAGTTTTCTTGTAGGTTCAGAAAGCAACGTTAGGCAGTGGGAGCCGTTGCCCGGAGGCTCGGTACGTCCTTCAGGGCCCTGCTGTTTGGGCGTGGCGGAGGCGCCGTTTGTGAGCCTTGACGGCTGGAAGAGAGCTAGTTTGGGAGCCGTTGCCCGGAGGCTCGGTCCGTCCTTCAGGGCCCTGCTGTTTTGCTGTGGCGAGGGCGCCGTTTGTGAGCCTTGACGGCTGGAAGAGAGCTAGTTTTCGTGTAGGTTCAGAAAGCAACGTTAGGCACTGGGAGCCGTTGCCCGGAGGCTCGGTCCGTCCTTCAGGGCCCTGCTGTTTTGCTGTGGCGGAGGCGCCGTTTGCGAGCCTTGACGGCTGGAAGAGAGCTGGTTTGGGAGCCGTTGCCCGGAGGCTCGGTCCGTCCTTCAGGGCCCTGCTGTTTTGCTGTGGCGAGGGCGCCGTTTGTGAGCCTTGACGGCTGGAAGAGAGCTAGTTTTCTTATAGGTTCAGAAAGCAACGTTAGGCAGTGGGAGCGGTTGCCCGGAGGCTCGGTCCGTCCTTCAGGGCCCTGCTGTTTGGGCGTAGCGGAGGCGCCGTTTGTGAGCCTTGACGGCTGGAAGAGAGCTAGTTTGGGAGCCGTTGCCCGGAGGCTCGGTCCGTCCTTCAGGGCCCTGCTGTTTTGCTGTGGCGAAGGCGCCGTTTGTGAGCCTTGGAAGAGAGCTAGTTTTCTTGTAGGTTCAGAAAGCAACGTTAGGCACTGGGAGCCGTTGCCCGGAGGCTCGGTCCGTCCTTCAGGGCCCTGCTGTTTGGGCGTGGCGGAGGCGCCGTTTCTGAGCCTCTGACGGCTGGAAGAAGCAGTTGGGAGCGTTGGCCCGGAGGCTCGGTCCGTCCTTCAGGGCCACTGCGTTTTGCTGTGGGCGAGGCGCCGTTTTTGTGAGCCTTGAGGTGGAAGAGAGCTAGTTTTCTTGTAGGGTCAGAACAGCAACGTTAGGCTAGGGGAGTTGGGAGACGGTTGCCCGGAGGCTCGGGTCAGTCCTCAGGCCATGCTGGTTCGTTGTTTGGGGTGGCGGAGTCGCCGTTTGTGAGCCTTACGCTGAAAGAGAGCTAGTTTGGGAGCCGTTGCCGGAGGGAGGCAGTTAGTCCTTTCATGGGACCCTGCTGTTTTTGCTGTGGCGAGGGCGCCGTTTGTGAGCCTTGACGGCTGGAAGAGAGCTAGTTTTCGTGTAGGTTCAGAAAGCAACGTTAGGCAGTGGGAGCCGTTGCCCGGAGGCTCGGTCCGTCCTTCAGGGCCCTGCTGTTTGGGCGTGGCGGAGGCGCCGTTTCTGAGCTTGGAAATCTGGAAGACGGCTACTTTTCTTGTAGGTTCAGAAAGCACTGTGGGGCATTGCCGTGCGGTGTGGCAACCTTAAGCTGGAAACGTCATCAGGTATGCACGCGCCACTGGTTGGTGCGACACTGCCGGCCGCTGGGATTGCGATGCGTTACCCGAATTCGGCCGGAAGCCAGTGTTGAGTGCACCACCGTGCCGCATGTTGGACATGCATGCGAATATGTGCGACCTGCGAGCAGGCCATTGGCAACGCAAAATTGTTTGCCGCAGCCATTACAGCGGCGGTGATCGACGCGCCCTGTTGCCACAGGGCTTTGCACAGACTTAGCACAGTACGGGCAGATGTATATGTGCAGTCGTGGCGGTGCTGTGTCAGGCCCGACAGCAAGCTGCTGGTTCGATGGCCCGACAGCAAGCTGCTGGTTCGATGAGTGGGCAGTGTCCGTTTTGGGACCTTCTGCTCGCGTGGAAGTTTGTCTTGCTTCGTGTATTTCCTGAATTTCCTTGCGAATGTCCTCTAGGATTGCTGCGTGCCGGTGGCGGGTTTCGCGTTGGCGCAAGCGGGCCAGGCGTTGATTCGTGCGATGAGCAAAACGGCAAACGAAGGCAAAGGCTGTGCATGCGTTGCATACTTGTGTGCCGTCTTGAGTATATTCACGACCTTGTTGCCAAGCTGTAAACTCTGTTCGTGGCTTGCGTTCCGCGCACATGGAACACATGAAAACAGACCAGCGACTTTGACTGAGCTTCGGCCGCCATCACTGTGGAAGATGTTCACTGCAGGAAGGGTTCCAAACTCACTCTCTCCCAGGGGTCGGCGGCAGGGGGCGTAGCCCCTTAATAATATATATACAATATCTAACATAATCTAACTTCTGGCAATTTCTGGCACGTGCACAACATGTGGTTGTTGAAGATTTCCTCATTTTGACGTCGCTTCCCGGTGACCGAAAGACGTGCCAGACACCATCCAACGACCTCATCCTCGTTGCGCGCTTCTTCGGAGGGGGTGTCCTCGCGATTTCCGTGGTGAAACATGGTGAACCATGCTGCCCCCCCCAAAAAAATGTGGCAACAAAACGAAACAAACATGGAAACAAACACATCAAAAATTGTGACAATTGTATTGAAATTGAATGATATTGAATTTATTGATGATGGTTCTTGTTCCAATTATGTCCAATTGATCAAGTCCAAAGTTAGGCGGCCGAAGAACTCGGAAGGGCTGCAGTTTTTTTTTTCTGTGCCTTTCACCCTCCTCAGCGATGAACGCCAAGGCAACGAGCCATGCTCTCGGCAGTCTCTTGGTGGACTGGTCCAAAATCCACGACTTGTCGTGTCAAAGTGGGAAGGCTCTCTGATTTTTTAAAATTGGTTTTCTGTCGATATGATCACTGAATATCACTGATATGTGCTGACCCAAATCTTTGTAAACCATTTTGGAAGTTGATGTAGCGATGCTGCAAAAGCTCTTGGAAGTTGATTAGTTTCTGAACTTGGCGGCCTTCCCAGGAAACGTGGATGCTATGTGATAGTAGAGGGGGTTCTCGGTCATTCGAACGAGATCTGCAATGAATTAAGACCTAGCTGATTAAGGCCTAACAGCTGACGGTTTGGTTTTACCGCCCTATTCTCTCAAAACATGAGGGATGCTTGAAGCCTACACTTATGCATCTCTCCACGCATTCTCTCAAATCTCGATTTATAGCAAAGTCTCATCACTGATTCCAACAGAAACAACTGAAAAGTAAGTGGATGTACAAAATTGTACAAATCTGATGACGCATAACATCTCAGCACACGAATCTACAAGCTTCCTACAAAGAGTTTCTACAAAGTTCCTACAGCTTCCTCTCACTGTGCACCACCAAATTCGTGACCCTTCACTGGCCACTGCAAAATGGTGATGCTTCCATAGCCACTTGCATAGTCATAGTCACTTCCCAAGCGCCACATAGTGCCACAGAAATCGCTCAACGTGACCCAATCTGACAATCTGACAGTCTGACCCAACAGGATGTGTCTACAGGTCACGAAAGTCGAAGGATCGACGACAAAGTTGGACAAAGCTGTGACGTCCTGGTGACGTGACTTCTATTGACTTCTAATTGACTTCTTATCACATTTTTGTCACATATATACATTTTTGTCACATGTTGACATATCTGACATATCTGATGCATTTTTCATATTTTCACGATGCGATGGGTGGTTCGCAGCTCCAAGTGATTTTGAGCGCGGCCCAGGCCATCAAACCAGTTCGCTTGCGGCCTTCCTTGTCTTCGAAGGCCACCATCCACGTGCCCAACGCGGACTCCCCGACGAAGGCCGACAGCTGTTCCTTGGGCCGGGTGCAGCTGTGGCACGAGTTGAGCTCCGTAAACTCGCAACGGAGATCCGCGCACTCCGAGGTGCCCGACTCCTTCAGCAGAATCGAGGTGCGCGATGGGGCGATCAAACGCAACCTGACAGTCTGACATTTGTCAAAAAAACTGAAAATCTTGGAGCCCCGAAATATCAGCAGTGAGACATATCAGACAGATTAGAACATATATGAACATATTAGATATTCTATTGGAAATGACCATCCCATCTTTTCAAAAAAATCGAAAACATGTGAAACCAGCCCTCAGCAACTGAAAAGGCTGCCAGTTGTCCAGGTCCGCATTCACAGAGACTTCCATACGGGCGATCTGATAACTTTTTTGGTGAGGGCTCTGGTGTACCGCAATGGGAATGTTGAAATCGCCAGTGTTGGGTGGTCGGAAGGTGAAATGCCAATCTTTTGGTTGGAAAACTGTGGTTCCGCAATCCACTGAATAGGTCTCATCATCATCAGGCGTTTTGCCACTCGGAGTGTTGCCAGCCGTGTTTCCAGCCGTGTTTTCAGCTTTGGGCTTGGTCTCCATACCACTGGCGAAGACGTGTTGGTCCCTCCACGTGCCTTGCAACGGATCGCTCCAGAGAGTCTTCGGTGGAAGGGGCTCCCAAGTCTTTCGAGACCCCGGAAGTGCGGAACCAGCTCCAAACATTGGAACCGATCCGCCGGACTCACCTGGCAGCGCACCTGGAAATACGCCCAGAGAGCCACTACCATCACTAGCACCTCTGCTTGATCCACCGGCGAAGCCATTCGGAGAGAGTGTATGTAATCCATGTAGTCCACCATCTGCCCCACCCCCTGCGAAGCGTGCAGCGCCATTGGCAAAGACTTCTCTGGGATCCACCCGTGCGGTAGCCGCTCCAGCAGCGCTTCCAGCAGCGCTTCCAGCAGCGGTGCTGGTGGTGCCCGCGGTGCCGGTGCTTCCGCCGCCGGCGAAGCGTTCCTGGCGCTCGGTGCGCAGGCCGCTGCTCAGAACCGACGGAACGGCAGGAGCGGCGACGGGAACGGCGGGAGCCGTGGCAATGGTAGGGCTGCTAGGGCTGTCTGGAACAGCTGGAACCGCTGGAACAGCTGGAACCATGGCTGGAACCATGGCCGGCGCTGGCACCGGTGCGGGGCGAGTCAACAAGGGACCTGTGAGTGGATGGTCTCCGTGACTCAAATCTCCTCCACCTGTCAGCTGTCACATGTTGTCACGTGATGTCACGTGTAGATGATGCCTGTGTCTTGCGTCTAACATCTCCCCCAAAAAATGGATGCAAGACTCGCAGCAGTGACTTGTTTCTATTCTTTAGTTGCCAATCCCCACTATCTGCTTTCTGTGGAAATTTCTCATCATGGTGGGTCAGAGAAGGACTGAATCATGCCAATCATGAAGACTTTGCGCTCTTACAACAGATTTCACATCTGCCACACAGGCTAACTTTAACTCATGGTGCATAATTGGAGCAACAGTGAAGATTGATCCGAGGAAACGACATGTTTCAACATGTTTTTACATGTTGTTTTTCTCGTCTGCCCTGGCCTGCAAATCTGTGAAGCTTCATTTCTGACTGTCCATAAGGCCCCGCAGTCCAGGTTTCTCTATCTCCTCTCCTGTTTTCCCAAGAAGGAGACAACTGAGCAAACTGGGTTTGAGGCGGCAAAAATGGTGGATACCAAAATTGGCCCGGTGCTGCAGCTGGCCCGTAAAAAGTTTGAGCCACTGGCGCTTCGAGTGCTTCAAGTGGTTCGACAGGTTGGAGCTGCAGCAAGCCTGCGGTCTCCTCCTCCGTCACCGGCACTTTAGAGGCCACAGCATCGGCAACGAACAGGAAGACGTAGAAGTAGAACGAAGCGTAGAACGAGGAGACCCATGGAAGCTGCATGGAAGCTGCGAAGCTGAAGCTTGAAAGCAGCTGCGGTTGACCATAGATTGACATAGATTGACATAGGCTCAAACTCACCCATGGCGTGACTGGCGTGACTGGCGTGACTGGTGTGACAGCAGACGTGAGAAAAACAGACATGTCCAGAAACCCGGTCATCTTTCAGATCTTCCAAAAATGAACATCTGAAATCCCAAAATCCTCACTCCAGCAACTCAGAAACTGCACAACTCAGATTCTCAGAGATAACTCAGATAAATTAGTTATACAACAGCTCCCAACACTGGCAGTTCTGGACCTCCAGAAATTGATGTTTTCCAGGAGGAATCGCCTCAGTCGGAACGATCTGGAACGATCTGAGATCCACAGATGGTTTCGCCACCAACCATCAGAAACAACCACATCTTTTCATCAGAACCAAATCAACTAC